GCATGGTCTGTGGTGGTCATCACGCATGGGATTGGTCGCAAAAAAATCAGAAAATATTCGGGTAATTTTTATTCTGGTTATAATAGTGGTTCTAATAACAATAATAGTGGTTATATGATGGTTGTAAGATGGGATTATAACATATTATATACTGTATATATATATATGGTTGGTGGTGCGTTTTAACCATCTTGAAAAATGATGGAGTTCGTCACTGGGAAGGATGACATCCCATATATGAAATGGAAAAATAAAATTCATGTTCCAGTCACCACCAACCAGTATTGTAATTTCCACTGGTCATTTAGGCTGATTTCCACATTCTATGGTTTTTCAAATCACTGTCCTCTAAAAGAACTGCAACTGTCGGCTGGGAACCGCTGGGAGCTGCGTCTGGTTGCCACAGTGGCCCACCGTCCCTTTCCCATCCTTTCCCAGCCCCGGTGTCCAAGTCAAGCGGCGCAGTGCAAACGCTATTCAAAAGTGTTTCCAAGCTTGAATTCTGCCGTAACTGGCCCTGTCCAAGCCATGTGACCGGGCACAATGCTTGAGGCAATTTGCGAAGTTGGCTAGGGCTAATCTGTGGAAAAAAAACTCACTGAATAAGTCTGGTCTATGTTCATGCACACATCTTCAGGGTCATTCTACCAATGCGTCAATTCATGTAGCTCCTGATACCTCGTCAATGCATCACTTCGGCAAAGTTGTGTGCAATTTTTCAACCACCCCGTTGATGAAAATTACTAATCGTCATACTAATCGTCTATTTGTTTGTCTCAAAATTGGGTGTCCCTTAAAAATTGATGGCAATCCAGATAGATATATATCATATCCATATATAACAAAAATCCCATGTTGCTGATCAACTTTTGTGTTTTTCATGATTGCAATTCAATTGGATCGTCCCCCGTTTCCTGAAACACCCGTGAGGGAAAAATCCTATATTCACCACCATGTTTTCACCGGTGGTCAAGGAATGTACTGTAAAACTTAAATATACCATCCCAGAATCCCATTCCAAGAGTATCACTATACTGTCAGAGCCAGAATAATAAACATACAATCCTCATGGGTCCAAGTACCTTCTTAGGAAGTGGGGCTGGGGTCTGATTTGGGTGGTTAAGTACCTTCTCAGGAGGTGTTTGGATCCATAGTGCCATAGGGAATAATAAACCATTCCCAATGTACAGCTTACTATGGGGTGTATGCATCGTGTACACATCCTATCAGCATCGTGGAGCCCACAAAAAGCTCATGTCCATCTACCCATCCCGATCATGAAACCCATCGTGTTTTACAATCTTTTACCAATATGGGAGGCCAAAAAAAAAACACAAAATTCTTGGGGATTGGATTTCCATCAATTCATCATTCAATCCCAACCACCATAAAAGCCCGTAACAAAAAAAACATACCCTCTGGTAATTTAACATAGCTATTGAAAATGATCATTTACAGTTGATTTACCTATTATAAATGGTGATTTTCTATAGCTATGTTAGTTTACCAGTGGGTACTTAGGACCTCCAGCCGGACCTCCCCAAAGTGTTTGGTGCCTGTAGCCATGCATCATTGCCCACAATCTTCGCCACACGATGAAGTGCGGTCGACAAGTTCACCAAATTCATCTGCGGCCTCAGCGACTGCGGGTGACACGTAAGATTTATCATCATTGGATTGATTGGTTGGGAAAATCTACCGGAAACCATGGTTTTTACCATTAAGATCATGGGGCTTTCCTGTAAATTTTCCTGTGAACCAATCCAATGATATCAGCATCTGTTCGAAATGAAGTATAAAATGATATAAAATGTAAATATGAATGCAGTATATGTGAATACGAATTTCTTTATCTGTTTTTGGGTGGTGGCTGATGGTTGCAGACAGTGATGAGTTCGGAGAGGTCCCCTCCGATCTGATTGAAATTGGGGTATAGCCTCGAAATTTCATGCAAAACATATGACAAACCATATCAATTTTGGTGGCACCCCATGTTCAGACACACCCACATGGACACAATAAATCACACTTATACTAATACAAACACGCGCGGGCATGAGTCTCAGATTCCAATGCACGGCTAAGATTCCGTTTCAATATTAATACAAAGAAGAAACAAATTCTCTATGGATCTCTACAATACTTCTATTCTCTCTTCAGGGAATCTGTTTCTTTAAATCAGCCCCAAAGTGCCCTCGTTCCAGCGGCAGCTTTTTCCACAGGCAAAAGCGACCCAGAGATACTTGCCATTTCCACACAGGAAACTTGGCATTTTTCATGGCACCATTTTGCCGTTGTTTTTAGGGATGGTTAAGACTTTTCCGGCAAAACATTGCACTTTCATTCTAGATATTAGGTATTTCTAGGTATCCATTGTCAGGTCGTCATGTTCATTCTATATACTGGTTGGTGGTTTCAAGCCCTCTGAAAAATATGACTTCGTCAGTTGGGATGATTATTCCATTCCCAAGTGAATGGAAAGTCATGTCATCCATTCCATGGTTCCAGTCACCACCAACCAGCCAAAAAATATGCCCATGATATCTCCAGATTACTGGTTAGATGACCATGAAGTATCCCGGATCAGAGCCCATCAGATTTATCCATTGCCAGGTTGAAGCTCTCCTTGGTCCTTCCCATCCATGGCACCCTCCGCGCCACCCTGGAGCCACTCGGCAAAGCGCCGGAACGCCGAGCGCCGCGCGCGGCGGTACGCCGTGAGCTGCGCCTCCGACATCTCCGCCAGGGCAAGGCCGGCCGTGGCACACCCCAAGTCATCCGGGATGAAGACCTGGAGACATATGGTGATGCTGCTGGTTTGCATGCAGACTACCTCTAATTACATATAATATAATATATATATATATATTCAAATATATATATATACCAGGCAAACCCAAAAAAGCCGAAATCATATATTTTTTCAAAAAAAATACATTTTTGATTAATCGTAAAAATTTTTACTCCGCACAACTTTTCCCGGACTGACGTAAAAATTTCTCGCCTAGGTTATACCCAACCCTTTTTCCAGAACATGCCTCAAACATGCTTCGCTCCTGAATTTGTTTATGCTGCAGCCATTTGGTTTTGAATGGTCCTGCGCTGCATCACTTTCTGCAAGGCCATCCTGACGTGATTTTTTCTGCACCCAGTTCGTTGTCTTGTTTTTGCAGGGTTTGCTTTGCATGTAGCTTCGATAATACCGCCTGCCTCCGCAGGGGATTTTGGCTGCAAAATAGAAGGTGGAAGGACCATGGCGTCTCCAAACCCTGCTGCGCTACCGGCGGCTGAAAGTGCTGAGGTAGGCATCTCAGCATTTGCTGGGTTGCACAAAGAATGGGACAACGATTTGACCTTGCGTGAACGAGTGCGGAGCCTTGGGAGGCTATGCGTGGAGAAGCCAGAGAAGGGAGAGCAGGAGACAGCAAGTGATGGCGTGATTCCCAGGACTGCGGAGAACTTGCGCTACAACGCCGCAGTTCTCCGCAATATGGTTGCCCGAATGCAAGGTCAGACGGCGCCTCCTAGCATTGATGCCTTGCAGTCGGAACTGACAGCCCTCTACAGCGCCAACCGCTTGAATCCAACTGCCAAAGTGGTGAGCGACCAATCTTGGTCCATTCGGTACCTGTACGGCGTGCTCAAAAGCTACCGGTATAAGGATAAGGCCCCGAAGGCGGGCCACTTCAGACCCATGTGTGCTACTATGATTCTGATAGAAAGTTTCAAATGTGGGATGTGAGCCCTGCCTGTTCAGAGGAGCCCGTGGTGGTGGACCTCCTGACAAGTTGGGGCGTGGACTTGAAGAATTGGCGGAAGGCTCGGGCAAAACAAACTTGTTTATTTGTTGTTTTTTGTTGTGAAAAATGACATTTGGACCCAAACCCTTGGCCAGTTGGAGCGGCAGCTGCCGCAACGCAAGAGCAGCCAGGACCGCCTTGACTGTTGTTTCCTGATTTTTATTGCCTGGTTGTTCCGCAGCCAACCTTCGTAGCACAGTATTGTCCTTCCGTAGCCGTTTTGATTGCCGCTGTTTGTAGCCGCTTTGTCGCAGCCTTTATTTGTTTCGCAGCTGTTTTGCCTGGCCTTGTGTGCCACTGCAGCTGTTTCCTTTTTTCCTTGTTCGAAGCCGTTTTGCTTTCTTCGTCACGCGCAGCTGTGTTTTCCAGCTTTTTCTTCGTAGCCTTGTCCGCAGCTGTTTTCCATGTTGCAATATTTTGCAGCTTTCTTTCTTCCTCGCGACCGTTCGCCGCAGCTGTTTTGCTTTCTTCCTGGTCACCGGCAGCCATTTTGCAGCTTTTTTCTTCTTTGGCAGCTATTTTCTATGTTGCACATGAAATTTCATGTGCTCCCTCGCGACCCTTCACCGCAGCTGTTTCGCTTTCTTCATGGTCACCCGCAGCCGTTTTTGCAGCTTTTTTCTTTGCAGCCTCTTCGGCAGCTGTTTTGCATGTATTTCATTTGCAGCCTTCTTTCTTCCTCGCAACTCTTCACGGCAGCTGTTTCGCTTTCTTCATGGTCACCGGCAGCCGTTTTGCAGCTTTTTTCTTTGCAGCCTTTTCCGCAGCTGTTTTGCATGTATTTCATTTGCAGCCTTCTTTCTTCCTCGCAACTCTTCACGGCAGCTGTTTCGCTTTCTTCATGGTCACTGGCAGCCGTTTTGCAGCTTTTTTCTTTGCAGCCTTTTCCGCAGCTGCTTAGCACGTTGCGATATTTCATTTGCAGCTTTCTTCCTCGCGACCCTTCGCCGCAGCTGTTTTGCTTTCTTCCTGGTCACCGGAAGCCATTTTGCAGCTTCTTTCTTCTTTGGCAGCTGTTTTCCATGTTGTACATGATATTACATGATATTTCGTTGCTTCCTCGCGATCCTTCACCGCAGCTGTTTCGCTTTCTTCATGGTCACCGGCAGCCGTTTTGCAGCTTTTTTCTTTGCAGCATCTTCGGCAGCTGTTTTGCATGTTGCGATATTTCATTTGCAACTTTCTTTCTTTCTAGGCCCTATGGCTTTGCGCTTACGCCACCCGTCTTGCGTCCATTTTTTAGTTTATCGCGCTTTTTGCCTTCAGGCTCACATGTCTAGTAGTCAGGCCTCACGTTTGGGGTTATTTCTTGTAATCGTTATTGGCTGCCCGCAGGATTCCAAATCTTCGACTCCGTCTCCAAAGGCGGCGCCGGCTTCGGTAGACAAATCTGCAGTTTCGTCAGTTTCGTCTACTCCTTCGCCAGCCGCTGTGCCAACCGTGGAGAAAGCTGCCATTTCTTCGGGAGTGCCTGGTCGCTTTACTTCTTTGCCGGAGAAGGCTGCGAGACCAGATGCTGAGCTACCGCAGGAAGCATTGGTCAATCTGGCATTGCGCCGAAACCATTTGCTGCAGATGCTTCTTTGCTGTATTTTTGTAGAGTGGTGCTCCTTAAATATCTGAAATGGTGCCTTAGCATCTTTGTCTTCTTGACACTGCCTTCCATCTTGAGGTTGAGCGTGCGCAAGCAAGCTGCTGAGGAAGCTGCGATGGTGGCTGCTGCCACTGCAGGACCTTCGCCTGAGCGAACCGGATCTCCTGCAGACACTGCACCCACGCTTGAGCTTCCACAAATGGAGGCGTGGCACGGTGATCTTTTTGCCAAGCACTTTTTTTTGCTTGACCGCAAGCATGGTGACAAACTTTCGTTCTTTGTTAGCAGGTGCCGGTCAAGGAGCAGATCTTCCCGAAAGTGGAAGAGGCAGAAGAGCCAGAGACGCTGCTTTATGAGCCACAAGCTCCTGAAGGTGTTGGACCTGATGTTGTTGCTGCCCAAGACAGTCTGGAAGCGGCAGAAGATGGCCCCCCTGAAGGACACACCCTGAAGACTGGTGAGGCAACGGCGGTTGGCAAAGACCCGGTGGCCAAGGATTTGCTGGTAGCGTTGGAGTCTGTCCAAGATGATTTGCAATCTCTTGAGATAGATGAAGGTGACCTTCGCCGACAGCAATTGCAGATGAGAGCGGACGAGCAGGAGAAAGCCCAGGAACAGAAGGAAAAAGCCAAGGTGAAGAACGCAGCGACAAAGGCCAAAGCCAAAGCAAAGAAGGAACCGAAGCCAAAGGGCCGTCCACGCAAAATTGGAGATATCGTCCGTGAGCCTGCAGCTGGTTCCGCTGAAGTTCCAGGCGCCGAAGCATCTGAGCCACCTGCCAAGAAGCTACGAGTCCGGGGCAAGACTGCTCAAGGCCATCCTGCAGCGGGTCCAGCACCATCTGCAGCTCCCCCTGCCCATCAACCTCCTGCGCCTGCCCGTGAGCCTTCTGCACCTGCCCCTCCGCAGCCTCCGCAGATCCGCCCAACAGCTGTCAAGGCCAAGGCCAAGCGCGGCCCGACGCCCAGGCCGCAGGCAGAGGAGAACGTGCAGCCAGAGCCTGCTTGGGTGCTGCAGATGACTTCCTTGCTGGTGAAATTCAATGCCAGCAAGCCTTACGATCGTCAGTCGGAAACTTTGCACAAAGGCAACTTTGGCCCCTTTGTGCAGACCTCTGTGTATTGGAACCGCGCAGCTGTCGGAGTGAAAGTCAAAAGGGGCGCTTCTTGGACTCAAATTTGCTATTTCACAGCGAAGAACATCGCCGTCGCCATTTTTTCTGCTGCTGAATATGCGACCACCTTGGCACAGCAAGGCATAGATTCTCAGTGGTGGCAGACCAGGGAAGCGGCAACTTTGGAGAGGAAGCTGCGGCTGAGTGCGGAAGCTGCTGTGCAGCAGTACAGCCAGCAGTATGCTTGAATCAGCTGCTGCTGGACTAGCTTGTCTATTTTGCATTCTGGGGTTGGAACTGCCAACCCAGCCAATCTTTCTATGTGGGGCAAACTTGGCAATGGCCATTGACACTGCATCGTGCAGATGGGAAAAAGGGTGGTCTCCTCTCCAATTCAGCACTGCTGTTTCTTGTCAAGCGCGCAGCTTTTTAATTTGGGCAGGCGCATGGCATACCTTCGCTTCTGCTGCTGCTGCTGCTGGATCAGATTTCTTCGTGTCCTATGAGGCTGGGGCTTGTGTACTTTACCTGTTGCTGCATTAGTAGATGCTTCTTAAGTACGAGGACTGCATGGTTGATTGTGTTGTCTGCAGCATTTTCCGGCTCAATTTCCCTTGTAGCAATGTCTGATGACCGTCTTCAGGATTGGGAGCGGGAAGCCATTAATTCCTACCTCTCCTGGAAGGGCGGCAAAGGCCCCATCCCCTACGTGAACCCGACGGCCAAAGGTGACGGAAAGGGCGACGGCAAGGCAAACCCCAAGGGGGAGAAAGGCGAGAAAGGCGAGAGCATGTGCAAAGGAGGCAAGGGTGACGGCAAGCATGGCAAAAACCCTGAAGGTGCGAAGGCACCTGGCCCTGGCCCCCCTCCAGGCAAAGGATCCATGCGCCCACCGGAGCCCGTCACAAAAGGATCAGCTTCTTCGGCGCCGCCTCCCTTGGGCGCAGTGTCAGCAACTCCATCATCGACTGGGATTCGACCAAAGCAACGCCCACCGGCAGGAAGTTGGGTAAGCGCGTGGCTTTGGCTGCCTTCGGGAACAGTCCTTGGATCGCTGCCAGGCACTCCTGGGCCCCCACCTGCAGCGCCTCCTCCAGCAGCTGCCTTGCCTCGTGATGAATCCTCTTCGAGCCAGGACAGGGTTGTCTTCCTTGCAGGTGCCGTGTTAGGATCTGATGATTCGCGGACCAACTATAACATTTTGTGTTTTTGCAGGAATCCGTGCCTGTGGAGCCAGAGCCAATGCCACCGCCTCCTCCTCGTCGTGACCATGATCATGGATATGCTGCTTCTTCCACTGCTGCCAGTTCCTGGGATGAAACTTGTAAGGTAGAAAATTAGTTCTATGTGCAAGGATCGGACATTTATTTCCTTTGTTTCTTGCGTTCAACATATATTAATTTATTGTTAACTGAGGCCATGAAGATGCGCTGCACACGCCGCGCACTGCTGCTAGTGCTCCTGCAGCTTCTGTGCGCCCCGAGCGACGTGACCATGATCGTGTGCGACGTGGCAGCGACCGCAAGAGAAGCCGCGATCGCCGCCGCCGTCGGCGGGACAGCAATGACACCTGAGAGCCGGGCCTAGCAACGGATTCTTTTTTTAAGTTAAGATCTTCGATGATAGCTTCGGAGAAAAACAGTGCAGCCAGACCTTGCACTCTCAGATCGCCCCCGGCTTGTGTTTCTTTTCGCATGGCCTCCTGCATTTCATTTGCTGCTTGGCAGGCCACATGGTGAAGCGCAAGTTTGCGGCCACTTCTATCTGTGCTGCTGGGCCTTCTACTCCGTCGCTGCCTGCAGATGTTAGGCCTTGTCCTGCTGCGGTGCTGCCGGGCGCTTTGAATCCAGGACGCAGCCGTGCGGCCAGCCTGTTTGTGTACTAAGGTAGCTCTGAGCAAGTGTGGCTGGTGCCAATTTCTGCCAGCTGCTTCCACAAAGGCTCAAGAGATGCAAGCTCATTGCAACTTCTATAGGCATGATAGATGGACATGCAGGCAAAAGCACATGTACATGCCATGCTTTCAAACATTTTCGATTTTTTCTTCGCTTGTATAGTGCAGCCATGCCGACGCGGGCAGTTCCATCGGAGGAAGACTTGGACAAGCTGGTGTGCTTGCTGCTGTCAGTCGGTTGCCCGAAGGCGTTGCTTAGTTTTGGTGACTGAAATGTCTGTCTGGTTTCCGGCAGGCCCCTAAAGGATGTCTTTTGCAAGTAGCCCGCCGCCTGATCCAAGTCTCTGCTGGCTTCCTTGCAGGCTTTCGTCTTCATTGTCATCTTGACATTTTTTAATGCGGGCATGATGCCGCTGGTCCACCGCCCGTTCCGAATGGTGGAAATCTTTTGTGGAGATGGGAAGCTGGGAAAATCCATGTACTACGCCCAGATTAGCACAGCTCAAATGGATGTCCGCATGGGCCGCCGTCATGGCAAAAGGGTAACTACTCGAGCCTTCGACCTTCTCACTGCAGAAGGATTAGCGTCCTTTGGTGGCAAATGTTGCTGGTGTGTCCCCCGAAAATGATAAAGGTTTTCTTTCTTCAATTCAATAATCAAAAATCAGGCTCGCTGTGTGGACAGTGATGAATGCAGAATTTGGAAACTTCATGTGCTGGATAGCACTTGTATGTTCGAGCTTTTCAGCGATGAATGTCTTCACCAGCGGGCGCACAGATGTGACACCATGGGGAGACCTCTCAAAAAGGTACGTGCGGGTCCTTTGGCGGCAACTATTAGTATCTGATAGTATCTTTTGCGGGCCCTTTGCAACCTTTTTATTATAGTTTCGCATGGTGCAACTGTGACTCTGCCATGTTCAGGCTGGAAACCAACTTGCATCGCGCTCAATTCTTTTGGCACTTCTTTGCTGGGCATTGCATGGCTGCTGGGCAATAGAGCAGCCGCGCAATTCGCGCCTCAAGGTTTACCCGCGCTGGGAGCAGTTCCTGCTGATTTCAGCCATGCGCAGTTGGTGGGCTGCGTGGTGGGCAAGACATTATTCTGCCCTCACGCCGAGCCTTGAATATAGTTAGTTGCCCTCGCCGCTGCTTTTGTCAATTCAGTCAGTAGCTGAAGCTGCCTCTTTCTGAGGAAACGGCATATCTGCTGGAGCAACACGTGGCAGATCGGAAAGCTGGACCGTGGGAAGTTGCGAAAGGCGCAAAGGGAGTCTTGCGTTGTAAGAACAACGCACAAAGGCACCAAGAATGGCCGGACGACCTACAGTGGCACAAAGTTCTTGAAAGGGACTCAGTGCAATGCTCAGCTCTCGGAGTGCTAGGCCGTCAAGCATGGATGTCACCTACTTTGGGATAGGACTGTGGTGCTGAGGTCTTATCCTGTACCTTTTGGACTTCGCGTGCTGCGGTGCTTCCAAGATTTCTGCCAGGATGTGGCGCGCCCTCCGGTAGCAGAACCTGAAGATGCCCCGCAGCTTTTCCAAGCCGCAGAAGTTGGTGACACGTGGCCTGAAGCTGATCTCCTTTCGGTCTGCGTCTACTTGAGGGGGTCGAAGCACCTCCGCGTGTCGGAAAGGTGGAAAGCTGCCTTTCCAACCTCCATGTGGGCTGAATCTCCGAGTTTTTTGTTTCCCTAAAGCCACAATATGAAGGACATGTTTTCCGACAAACTGACACCGGAGAAAATACAGAAAACACCGGAGAATGAACAAGAAAATCCGGAGAAAGTAGAAGAATCTTGAATTTCTCTGATAGGGGAAAAATACCGGAGAAAATACAGTATCGGACTTGGGGCGAGAATCGGCGATAGAACCGCGAGAAAAGACGAACTTGGCGCGAGAATCTTGCCGCGAGAAACCCCGGAGTTGGAACAGGTATTTTGGTTTTTTGTGATATTTTTGATTCCTGCCATCGTTGTTCTGCAGACATTTTTTGCATAATGGGTGATTGCAGCTGCTGTCTCTTTGGGTGGTCGCTTCCAAATTTACCGATTGCAGCACCCTGGAACTTGAATTCGTGCACTTTTGCAGCCGGAGTGTCTCAAAAGTCCTTGTTTGAATGGCTGGGAAGTGGCCTAGCCGCACTTGGAGCTGCAGCGAAGTTCTACGGGGTGCTGCCCAGGTCGTTGACAGCATGGCTTTGCCTGCAGCTGATGTGGTGGCGGCAAAGCGCGGCCTTCTGTCGGAGACAGCAGACTTGGATGAGCAGCAGCTCCAAGCACTGCTGGAGGCCAGCTTGTTGTTATTGTCTTGTGAGCCTTGCGTCGCCTTTAAACAGTTCCCTGTTGATTTTTCCCGGCAGGAGACTGAGAAGAAAATTTCTGATCACCAGATGAAAGGCGATTTGCACGCCATTGTCTGCTCCTCATTTGTTGACACCTCTTGGACGGCTGCTGCCATTTCTGTTTGAATTTTTGCGGTCAGATTATCATCATATTATCAACTTTAATATGTCCTGCGGTAAATGTGACTGCAATGTCTTCGGGGACAGCAATTTCCCGCAGGTGTTTACTTTGCTAATCTGCTTTGCCACTCTGTAGTGCGCATTCTCTTTTCAAAGGCATCGAATTTCATCCACGGTTTCAGATGTTGGGGCCGGAGTTGCTTGTTGAGGAACGATGGCTCTTTGTCAAGGAAGAGGAGCACGAGCAGATGCTTTTGGATGATTTGCATGCTTCGGCGCTGCACTCAGAAAACGCCGAAGAGTTCATAAGTCCCAGCCAGGAAGCACGGCCCGCCAGACTCAGACCCAGGTGAACAAAGCCGTGAGCGAAGCAGAGGGGCCGAAGCCTGTTGCCACACCTGCTCGCGCTGAAGCCGCTGCGCCGACGGCGGCGCCTCCTGATCCAGTTGCTTGGCGTAACCTTTTGCCTTGCCTTGGGCGAAAATTGTGAGATTTTTTCAGGCTAAAGGACGGGGACCCTGTTTGAAACCAGCCGTGCTACCCTGCAGGTCCTGCAGCCACGGGCCTCTCTCTCACCTGTTGCCATCTCTGTGCCGCCGTCTGCGTTTGCAACGCGTGCTGCTGCAACACCTGCTGCGCGCCTAGAAATTCATCTCTGCACGTTTTGTGTTCGGCCTTCATCAGAATAGGGTTCCAAAGAAGATGAGATGATCATAGTAATCATGGTGCAAAATGGCTTCAACTGTAGACTGCAGCAATAGCCCCCGTCTTAATGCCTTTTTCTTCTTCAAAGTTAAAAATGCGCCTTGTGAGGCAGATTCTTTGCAGGTGGACAGTGATTCTGATATCGAGATGGAAGAAGCAAAATCGAGAGAAAAGCCTGCTGGAGAAGCCGCAAAACCCACCATGGAGACACCCACCACACCCATGGCGACACCCACCACACCCATGGCGACACCCAGGGCGACACCCACCACAGAGGATGTCCAGCGTCAATTGCATGAACTCCAGCAAAAGTATGCTGAGCTGCTTGCTCGCCAAGGGGATGGTCAGGTGCCGACCCACAAGGGACAGAAAGCTGCCCCAACTGCTTTGGCTGGAGCTGAGTCCTCCGAGAAGGATGCACCAACTGTCGCAGGATCCTCTACGGATAGAGCAACTGCCGTGGCTGAAGGCCCGGACAAGCACGGGGCCGAGACAGGTGACACGGCGGATTTGCACGAGTTTTACGACCTGGAGAAGAAGGATGCACGAGCAGATTCAAATTTTCTTGTCACTAAACTGTTTCTAAGCAGATGTAAGCAGTTTTGATTTGACTGCTTTGGTTTGGGTCCTGCATTTACTGCCAAACTTGCGCGAAGGAATTGTCGCAGCATGCGCTCTATTTGCGCTTGAAACGGCTCTGTACACCGAGCACCAAGGGTGTCTTGAATGTTTCTGAAGATGTATACCAGCAATGGCAGAAGGGCAACCGCGAGGAACTAAGCCTGGCCCTGCTCAAGGCCTTGAAGCAATACGGAACTCAAGACAACGCGGCCACCCGCAAACAAGTCAGGGTCGGGTTTGACCAAAACATGTTACAATACCATGCAGTGCAAAGCCGAATGATTTTCTGATTGATGGTTGTTTCGGTTCCTTACCATCAATGGTCGGGCAAGGATGCTTGATTCATGTTCCGATGTATTTTGGCATCCAAATGTGGCAGGTTGTCTACAAGGCAGAGGTTGAAACACATGCATGTCTTTTAATGTCTTATATGATTTGTTGGCCTGTTGTTTCGCTTTGCCCAGCAGGCAGAATTTGCCAACCAGATGCTGAAGTTGAAGGAGATGCGAACGCAGAAGGAAGAGGAACTGGAGGGCGGCTGGTATACGGAGGAGCGCATGGAGAAAGACCTTGGGTACTCAAAGTTCCTTGCCGTGCCAAATATTTGCTGCCTATGGCCTGGGGTTTTGGGTTCCATGTTGACATCTGTGGTTTCCTGGTCTTTTGAGGCAGCTGGTGAGCAAGGTGAAGGCCTACTGTTTGCGCTTCAAGAGTGTCTTGTGCAGGAGAACTAAGAGCTTTACTTACTTCCTGCATCTTTTCATCTGGCCATGGCGCAGCTGTTTTGTATTTCGCAGGAAGTTCGTTTACGACGAATCCGTGGAGGAGTACTTTGTGCAAACGGCCGACACTGTCAAGGTGAAGAAGAGTGAGCTGGAGGCTTACCAGAAGATGGAAGGTATGGATCCTGGCGATGTCACTTGCCTCGCTACAGCGTTTCTTTACTTGGTTTCCCTGACTAATCATGATCGCACAGTCGATTTTCTGCCTTATGCATCTTAGGCCATGCCAGATGTGCCACGGCAGGCGTTAATGCCTGTTGCAGCAGATGCCTTGCCTCCTGGCTCCAACGCTGTGGAGCCATCCAAAGAAGCTGCGGGCACCTTGGAAAAGTTCGTCGAGTCGCTTCACGCAAGAGGTACTGTCGTGACCAATTGGATTGTTGCCTTGAACAGCTGCAAGCTGCCGAGAGCAGTGAAGTTGCTTGTCCAAGTCGTAGAGAGAATACTCATGACACCCAGTTAATTCCAATCGGCAGATAGCCCCATCATATATGTCCACCAAACATATTTTAGTGCTTGCATAATGAGGCATAATGGAAAGGTTTTTTCACCTTCGTTCTGGTCAGCTGAAGATTCAAGTATGTTTCTGAACCGAAGCAGTACTGGAAAATAATCATAATATTGATTATTTCCACCATCTTCGTTCTTGCAGAGTAGTATCTTCCCTGTATAGGCGGATAAGGGGAAAGGTTTTCACCTTCGTTCTGGCCAGCTGAAAAGCAAGTGCCTGTCTGAATGCGAAGCAGTGCTGGAAGCTTCAAAAAGAATCATTCCTGCCAATCGGCAAATAATAGCCCCATCATATATATCCACTATTTTTTGGTTCTTGCAGATTAATATCTTCCCTGTAGGCGGATAAGGAGACATGTTTTTTCACCTTCGTTCTGGTCAGCTGAAAAGCAGGTTTCTGTCTGCATGCGAGGCAGTGCTGGAAGCTTTAAAAAGAATCATTCCTGCCAATCGGCAAATAATAGCCCCATCATGTATATCCACTATTTTTTGGTTCTTGCAGATTAGTTTCTTCCCTGTAGGCGGATAAGGAGACATGTTTTTCACTTTCGTTCTGGTCAGCTGAAAAAAAGCAGGTTTGTGTCTGAATGCGAAGCAGTGCTGGAAGCTTTAGAGAAATCATTTCTGGAGCTAGCCGAATGCCAGCATGCGTTGGAGACTGATGGCAGCTCAGATGCGCTGCTTGCCCCCACTGCGTCGCTTTGTAACCTATCTTTCCCTCACAAAAGTTTGGATATCCCTGGGCTATCTTGAGGGTTAAAGTGCTCATACGCACTGGAGCCAAATAATAAGCCACTCCCAGGTTGTCGCAGCAGATCCAGAAGGCCAAGGACGCCGCTCGAAAGCCGCGCCTCAGCCGCAAGTGTGGTTTCTACGTACGTAGTAGGTTTCCTCCGCGTGCAGTGTGCAGCCTTCCCTTTTGGTGGGCGTCCACCATTATTGTCCGCAGGTGTGTGGAGATTCTGGCGAAAGAGCACACCTTCAAGCTTTTGTCCCAGGAGATGAAGAAGAACCAGGGGAAGCGCAAAAATACCCCTGGAGATGAAGAAGGTGATGACCACGAGCCAGAGCTGGAGGAAGGAGAGACGGCGCCCAAGGCCAAGTCGAAGGCCAAGGCGAAAGCCAAGCAGGGGAGCAAGAAGCCAAAGGGCGAGTGAGTGACTTCTGAGATGCCTTTTTACCAAATCCAGGGGTGAGCGCCTCCCCGCTGAACAAGCGGGCGCGCGTTCGTATTTTTGTTCCAGCTTTGGAAGATATACTATATATGGAACATGGAGCTTAAAGACCGCAGCGTGAAGTTTCCCCAAAGTACCTCTTGCAATTTGCAACTTGTAGCGATTGGGTGCTGCCAGTCTCGGCTCCGTGACGCGCAGAAAGTGTCCAGGGCAGAGCGGACAAAGTCAGAGACAGAGATGCTTCAGCAAAATTGGCCCGCAATGCCTGCAATCAATGGGGGCTGTCCCTGTCTGCAACTGTGTTGACCACGCAAAAATCATCTGCTTGGAAAAATGGGACATTTTGCTGCCAGGTGCTGCTTCTCGGCGCGCTGCGAAGAGCCGTAAAACGCGAGCAGCTGTAGTGCCAAGCTCCACAGTGCAAAGTCTTGCTCGCAGCCTTGCACGTGGAGTTTCTTGACGCGATTTTTTCCGAACTTTTTTTTTGGCCCGTATCGGGTTCCACCAATCTATCTGTAGGTTCAGTTTTCCAGGTATGCAAGCTGTTCATGTGCGAGGCTCCGGCTGTGCAAGTGGCGGAGCATGCTGCAGCCATTTTGGAGGACGACCGTGCCCTTGGCATTGTGCGACAGGATGCTACCCTGGAGCGTTTAGCTCGTGCTGGAGACGCTCATTCAGAAGCTTGCTGGCGTTGAGGTGATTTTTCTTCTCACCTAGCACGTGTCTTCTGCTTCTTTTTGGTGCCTTGACCGAAACAGTTCTGAGGCGAGAGATGTTTTCGCAGCTTTCAAAGATGCCGCCCTGCGAGTGTCTATGGAGATAAGCTATGTGAAGCTTGGGCAAGCTGAGAAGCACCCCATGATTATGCCGGAGGCCTTTCTGTCTGCCCTCTACACCAATAATCGTTTGGATTTGTTGCTCCCGGAAAAATCATTGGCTGCCAGCGCTCCGGTTCTCAAAGAGTATTGGAGACGTTTCAAGCTGCAATTCGGAGCTGACCATGAAGTGTTTCAAAACATTTCTGATGAAGATGAAGCACGACTCTTGCCTGTGAAAATCCACGGAGACGAGGGGTGGAGTGCCTCGGACGGTCGACATGTATTGCCATTATTATTATTGTAAGAACTGCGTTGATTATCCTTTTTTGATGTTTGTTCCCTGTGTTTTTTTTCCTACGGTTCTGCGTCTATAATTTCCATTCCTCCACATAGGCAAAAAGAAAATGCCGATACTTCTCGTGAATTGGCAGCCAGTTTTGGGAGCTGGCACGAGCAAAAGCGTTCTGCGAAGTCAAAGGGAGCAAGCAGCCGCCCAGAAATTGAATATTCTGGGGAATCCGGAAACAACACGTTTCCTGACCCTGGCTGCTCTCAAGGAAGTCTATGGAGAAGACGACGAATTTTTGAGGGACGCAACTCGCTTGATCGGCATGAGCTTTCAGCGCTTGTTGACTTCTGGCTTCAAATTTCCAGATGGCTCCACCCTTTACCTAGCCGCCATCAGCGTGAAGGGCGATTGGCCATGGCTTATAGAGGCCGCTGGATTGGTGAGACACTTCAGAAAAGCGCCCAAAAAGGGCCACACCACAGGTGGGGCCGGGATTTGTCATTATTGTCTGGCAGGAATGGCTGGCTACCCATACACAGACTGTGGAAATGCCCCGCGCTGGGAGTTGACTGAAAATTCAGGCGCTGCAGCGGTGCCATGGGACCGTGTCGAACCATTCACGGAGCTGTTGCCAACCCCCTACGATCTACCTCAGAAGCTGCATCGGCCAGACCTGTGGCATAATTGGCACCTGGGCCACGGCAGGTACTTTCTTGCTTCAGCTTTCATCGTGATCTTGCCAATGTGGGATGGAAGCGGGGTGGAGAAGAAATTTGCTAACTTGACCAAGTCTTGGAGAAGTTTCTGCCAACTGAGACGGGTTAAACCTCCATTGGCAAAATTGTCAAAAGAAACGTGCGGCTACACCGCAAGCTTAGATTGGCCTGAAGGCTGCTGGCAGAAGGGTGCAACAACGACTCTTCTTTGCGACGCTTCGTAAGCAAATACTTTTGCAACATGTTTTTCTTCCATTTTTCATTCTGCAAGGCGTGTCCTTTGGTTGTTAACCCTGTTGCCAAAATCTCCCAGATGCCTTTGACCTTGCTGCAGGAATTCCTGGAATATGTTCTACAGCAGCCGCCGTTTGCAGACATGGTCGTGCTGGACAGGCGCTGGGTGCTGATCCTCTTGGTTGCCCAAAGTATTAACCGTGCCATGCGCAACCTTTACAGATCAGGCGCTTGGCTTCACAGCTCGGATGCTTCTCCACTAGCTCACTCCGGGCTGACGTCCTGCCGGGCATATCGCCGTTTGGCTGATCTGAGCTTGGAACTTGCTGAACCTCGGTTTCCAATGCATCCCAAATTCCATATGCTAGTGCATACGTTCCGATTCATGCAGCTCGATGCTGCACGAGTTGAATGGCAAGAGTCGCCACTGTGCGACTCTTGCCAGATGGACGAGGGATTTGTTGGCCAGCTGGCCGAGTTGAATGGCAAGAGTCGCCACTGTGCGACTCTTGCCAGATGGACGAGGGATTTGTTGGCCAGCTGGCCAGGTACTCCCGGCGGGTTTCTCCGAAGACTACAGTGCACCGGACTTTAGATTTGTACCTCACTTCCCTCTGGCGCTTATGGAGGCAGGAAGCTGTGGAGAACTGAATTAGAACCTATAAAGAAAGGAACCATAAACCTTAAGAGAATTGAATTGAGATTCTCCATGCTCGTGTCCAACGCCCGTGCCTGAGACTCATGAGGAATTTGTAATTTGTTGCACAAGGGTGAAGTGGTCCAACCCCAAACCCGGAGAAAATCTCCAAGCACAAAAAAAACCGGACTAGCGCAGAAAAGACCGGACTGGCGCAGAAATATCCGGACTGGCGTTGAAAAATCTCAAAAATGTATTTTTTTGAGATTGGCGTAGAAATTTCTATGCTCTTGGAGGTGCTGGTATATATATGATAATTAAACATGGATAAGATATGATAGTTAATATTGGGATATATTGGGGTGCGAGTCAAAAATCTGGTATGGATCGCTCCGCGGTGATCCGTACTATAGATTTGTGAGTGCTTACGGAAGGTGCCTGATCCGTACCCTTTGGAAAGGGCTCATCATAGCAAGCAAACTGTGCTGATACTCCTACTTGCCCTTACTTCTCCTCCTGCTACTGTTGCTGCTAAAACTGCTACTACTCATATTGTGATTCTGGGGATTATATACAAAAAATTGGTCCTTTCTGGGAATACTGGAGAATGTTGGAGGATACTGGATAAATAATCAAGAGGATAACCATTTAATTAGATATTGTAGAATATTATAAATCATGTCCCATGAAAATAGCATGAAAATGCATGACATTTCCATTCATAGATGTTCTTTCCCATGTTTTTTTCCTATGGAAAATCACCATTCTTCCCAACTCACCCATGGTACGGTCGCCAGCCGTTGACAACTCGTCGCCTCGAAGAGCTTGCCGGCCTCATCGCCCCAAGCCCGGCCAATCTCCTGCCCATCACTGTCCTGCGCTTCAGCTACAGAGAGGTGGAAAATTTTGGGCCGTACAGGTACAGGTAAACATACCAAAAGATGTGGAAAACCATGGAAACTCCCACAATAATGTCCTTTGGGTAAAAATAGAGGGGCCGGGAGCTGGTTAATCCCATCTATCATCATTCCCTCTATCAATCAACCAACCAGTGGGAAAAAGACACCTATGCATGGTTTAAACCCCAAAAAATAAAAAGCCGAACTCGGACAGTGGAAAGAGTGACCTACAAATGGTGGATCATGGATTTTCCACATCTATAGTTTACAGTAAATCTGTGTATTCACCGTCGCTTAATGGTAATATCATTTGATCATGGCTAAATAATGGGTATGGTACCATTCTTAGAATGTGGTGGATATATTGGAAATTCATGGAAGTTAGCCTACTAGATGGAGTATGATGGAGTGCAGGGCTAGCTGGACCTGCTGGATATTTGCTGGTGCTTTTTGGTGGAAAAAATGGTAGAAATTGATGATGTTTGTTGGCTTGTTGCCCACTATCTCTTAATCTTGAGATGAAACCGACAGCCCAACACCAGATATGTTGGCTGCATCCCATCATATCTCATCAGTTCCCCATAGAATGGTTGGTGCATACCACGCCTCATTTCGTTGTTTGAAACCAGCATTCATGGTTTAAATATCATTGAAACTGTTTCATAAGTTTCTGATTCTTATCCTATAACTGGTTGGTGGTATACCTACCCCTCTGAAAAATGATGGATTTCGTCAGTTGGGATGATTATTCCATTCTCAACTGAATGGAAAAGTCACAATCCATTCCATGGTTCCAGTCACCGATATCTCCAGATTATTGGTTAGATGACCATGAAAAAAAAACTATCAGCAAAGTTGGTGAATCGTTCACGAGGTTAACGGATAGCTTCATGGTGATGAAATAACTGTAGTAACCCCCAAAGAGATAGAATATATTTTTCAAAAATAGATAAAAATAGAATGTAGGTAAATGCATTCGATCTTTTTGGTTGCTAGTGGGATACAAGGGAAAACAAAAAGCAACATGGCGGAATATCATAAGATGGTGAATCAGATAAGTTGGAGGGTTATGATGGGGATTGAAGCCTGTTGAATTTCATCACCGGTGATGAAAGTGTGTGTTTTCCATCATGGTTGAATGGCTTCATCACCATTTGTGTGTTTGCGAAGTGATTTCAATGTCTGGTTAAACATGGTATCCTCAAGAAATCCCCACATTTAGAACTGTTTTCCAAACCATTTCTGATAAATCACCAGAATTGCTAAGTGATTTCAATTTCTGGTTAAACATGGTATACTCAAGAAATCCCCACATTTAGAACTGTTTTCCAAACCATTTCTGATAAATCACCAGAATTGCTAAGTGATTTCAATTTCTGGTTAAACATGGTATACTCAAGAAATCCCCACATTTAGAACTGTTTTCCAAACCATTTCTGATAAATCACCAGAATCGCTAAGTGACTTCAATTTCTGGTTAAACATGGTATACTCAAGAAATCCCCACATTTAGAACTGTTTTCCAAACCATTTCTGATAAATCACCAGAATTGCTAAGTGATTTCAATTTCTGGTTAAACATGGTATACTCAAGAAATCCTAGAAATCCCATGGTTTATAACTGAAATCCCATGGTTTTTGAAATCCTGGTTTCGCAACATGTTTTTCCAGCGCTCCCAGCGGTCCTGCGAGGTCCGGAGCGACTCCTTCAAGGTGCCGAAGTATGGCGTGGGTTCCTCAAAGATGTGGACTGCACCTGCCGTTTGCGGCATCCGATGTCAGGGGGCTTAGTTACTTAACCCCAATATATATATATGGTTAGTATGGTTTAATATGGTTGAAAAACCCAATGAATTATCATACTTAGTTACTTAACTATGGTTAATATACAGTTAATATTAATGGTTAATATTAATGGTTATGATGATGGATTTCATGATGGTTAATAATAATCTGGTTGGTGGTTTGGAGTTCGTCAGTTGGGATGATGACATTCCCAACATATGGAAAAATAAAATCCATGTTCCAAACCACCAACCAGATCATATTGTGGGGCAACACCTTGTAGATGCTAGGGCCGCTAGGGCCAATCTTGGATGCGATGTTTGAGTTGCTTGGGATATTTACATCAATTTATAGCCGAAATCTTAGCCCACCAACATACTCAACCAAGCTAATGAGTGATGGGTCAAACTCACGCTAACGTCAAGGTCAAACATTGGAAAATTGTCGCCATGCTTGGGGGTGCAGCTGGGGTCATTACAGCAGTAAATAGTAATATATAACCAGGGTAATAACCATGGTAATAACCATGGTAAGAACGCCTGGGAGTTGGGTTGTAGATAACTACACTCCCAAGTGGACCTGCAGTTGTTTCATTTTGCTGTATGATACCTTCTGTTTTGGTGGACTGAAAGCTACCCTTCTGTATATAGGGGTCCTCGATTTTATGGAACATGATGTTTCCTTCAACAAAAACATCTAAAAACATCCGTATTTAGTCATCCCCCAAAAGTAAAATCCAATTCTATCCAATTTTCTGAATCTCTTGGGGGTTTGGTCCAAACCCCCAAGAGAATCAGAAAAGTGATATAAATGGGGGTTTCCTCAAATGGGGAATCCCCAGTCGTCACCATGGTTGTTTACTAAGTCGTGGTCATCCATGACTGGATGATATGGGGCTACCCCCAGTTTGGGAAACTTCCAAATCTACGGACAATGTTGAAATATGCTGAGTTAATGCTTCGTAGCCCCATTGTACAGTATACCCTCTGGTTATTTAACATAGCTATGGAAAATGGCCCATAGAAATAGATGGTTTACCTATTAAACATGGTGATTTTCAATAGCTATTTTGACATAACCAGAGGGTAACCCTCAAAGACTCGGATCTGACCAGGCACGGCACGGGTGTTTTACCCCAGATAAATTGGATACCTCCAAGTTGGATCGCCCCACCTTGGGCGTCGGCATAGCCCACGCAGGCCATGAATCCACAGCGGCGGTTCCTAGGGTTCGATGAGTTTCCACATTGAAAAATACCGTGGATACACCGTTGATAGGGGATTTACCATGTTTTCGGACATAAATTGGAATCAACTTTGGGACATGTGAGTTTTACCCTTCAAAATCAGGCTTCATCTTTGGAGGTCTGAACGATTTTTCCCAATTCATGTGTGATGAAAACACAACTTGTGCGTGGATTTGGTTGATACATTTGTCTTGTGCACTGATAATTCCCGGAGTTTGATGGTATGTTTTTTGTTGTTCGGTGTACTAAAGATTAAGTTTCAGATGGTAGGCAGGTCGGATGGAAACAAGATCACTATGACTTTAACATTCTTTAACCAGGCAGGCGGGAAGCAATCCAAATTTTCGGAAAAGCTAAAAGATCCTGCATTAGAAGTCAAAACTACAAACAGTTGTCAGTATGACGCAACATTTGTTTTACTCCTTAGTATTCTTCAGCACCGCACCCAGATTGATTCCTTGATCATTTCTTCTTCACAGTGACATTTCAACCATGATAGCTCCCACTTTGTACCATGTGTCCCTAGCTACTTCACCAATGCCATGGTAGAAATCATGGCGCCATGGCAGAAAACACCACCGAAAGCACGCTTTCGGTAACACCGAGGGCAAAGGCCCAACGGGAACAAACGACTCCGTGGCCTCGGCCAAGGCGCCCAGACCACACCACTTTGGTGCAAACAGCCCAGCGAAAAACCAACCAACACCGCAAAAAAAGGAAACCAAGGGGGCAAAGACCCAAAGAAACCAAGCCAAACCCAGAGGGGAAGCCCACGAAGGCAAGGCAACCCCAAAGGGAGTGCAAGTGGGCAAGACCATAACCGGAAGGTAACTAGGACCCTGATACAAACAAGCACAAGTCATGGATGGACAAGGGACCAAAGCGTCTCTTGCACATGAATCAACCAACCATGCACAGCATCAATGTCACAAACTTGATTTGTAACGACCCAACCATACCTAGAAGACATAAAAACTTGGCAGGTGTAGGTATATTACAAGGGCGACGAGGACACTCCCATGCAATATGATCAAACGTGCCAAGTTCAGTGCAACCATCCCAAATGCACATGGTAGAAGGACGATGAGGCATCGGACCACCAAGAGCAGCAGGAGAGAAAGTGGCACCACAAGCCAAGGTAAACGGTGGTATTTGCATGTAATGTGGTTAAAACAATAATAAACAATCCCGCAAATCACCATTTTTATAGGTGGTATTTCCACCATTCCCAGTCATGGATGGTTTATGACATTGTTTTCCCCACATGATTTGCCAAAGTCAATCAGATCCAGTTGTGATCCAAGTTTCTGCTTTCCCTCCATCAGCTTCAGAATCCCATCGACGCCAATGGTGGACAGCACATACTTGGTGTAGGGCCCCGGAAAGCCTCAGCTGCAAACAATGCTGGATTTCACCTTCGATGGTTTCATAGGATTTAACTGATTTAACCATGAAACAATTGGTTCCTTAATGGGTTTTAAACAACAGACCCGGTGATTTGAAGGGATTTTGATGTCGTGCTGAAAAAAGTGGGGAACATGGCCGTGTTGGCAAATCATCTAGAAATGGGTCACTTATGGTAACTTTGCGAACTGCGAACTGCTGAAAAAACTCAGGGTAATGAGGTTAACATGGGTGCATAACCAAATAAATTATGGTAAATTCATAGAGATTACCCTCTGGTTATTTAACATAGCTATTGAAAATGGCCATTTATAGTGAGTTTTCCCATAAAAAATGGTGATTTTCCATAGTTATGTAAACGTTTACCAGAGGGTAATGTGGGTAAAACGACCAGAACAATACAATCCTTGGCTTGTCACGTGCATGGTGAAATCATCCAGTGGGACGACTACCAGCCACGGCACCGTCGCACAAAGATTGGAATATGTAGGAAAACACCAGTTTAAATACACACTGGTTATTTAACATAGCCATGGAAAATCACCATTTTTAATAGGTAAACCATCTATAAATGGGCCATTTTCCATGGCTATGTTTAAATTCCAGATGGTACACATCTCAGCTCAACATTTACCAAAGGCTCCTAAATTAAATGATCTGGATTCTAACATATTCATGCATGGTTTATGAATGGAAAAAAACAATAAACGCATAATTCAATTCCATTCCAGACGCGAGTGACTCGCCAGAGAATCATCCCCGTTGGACCGGTACAATGATCCTATCGGCGACTATCGGTCTCTGTTTTTCATCCTACATCCCCAGGATTTCATAAAGAATCAATCCGAATCCCTGAATTTTTCCGAAGATATTCAGCAAACCCTCCAGTTGGCATAGTAATGCCTGCCTGTCTCGTCGGGAATGGAAGATGAGTTGTCCCAAAAATTGGAAATCGGGGTGAACGGGCTAAGTTCTGTGAATTTACCAGAGGGTAGCCGGGTAGCACTCCACCAAACTACGAAGATCGACGACATTTTCCCAACTGTGTTGTCAAGATGCCGTTTAATTCTTCGATGACAAAACCACTGTCCTCAGCACCGAAAAACGATGCCGTTGACGGCGGCGACTTGGAGAACTTACGTGAAGAACCCTGGTGATCGTAACGTCCTTTAACGGAGGTGTCCTAATCAGCTCGTTTTCGCTTTTTGTTTATGGGAAAGGTATGTTGATTTTTAAGGTGATAGGCCATTCAAAGGAAGCAGTATACAAGTTAACAGCACGGTCCATTTTTGCAAACCGCAGACACAAAGTAAGCCATCACACCCGCTACGCTGTCACAAGATCCTACAGCAGCATCAGGTTCCACACACCTGGGGCAAAGAAGCCAACTTAAAGTGACAAAGTGACAAATCAACAGACTTCCAACGTAGACTGTATGACAGCTCTTACAGCTTCTTGCGATGCTCTCTTACAGCTTGCAAAGCTCTTGCAGCTAAAAAGCTCTGACAGCTACACTTACAACAGAGAAAGAACACCAACAGCACTGACAAAAAAAACAAAGTGAGCTATGCCACCCTAAATACAATTCAAAAACATATCACATGCCTGCTGTATATCACATGACATGTCCAATTGACTCAAACATATACAGCTCTTCAACTAACTTCACGGTGCTCCCTTTGAATTTTGGCTGCCAAGCTCCCAAGCCAAGCTATTGTTGGCTGAACCCTTAGTGCTGCTAGCTGCTACTGCCCAGCACTTCTATGCATTCTGCTCTGGCGCTTCGAATTTCACTGTCACAGCCCTTGCCATGTAAGCCGAGCTTGTGATACAAACGGGCCTTTTCAAGCTTCGAAAAACATTCAGCATCACACTCCCAATCAGTGCACAACATCATTGCTGCTGCATGGAGGACCTGTAGTGGGTACCGGGTGGCCAAACGAGGCACAACAACTGCCAGGAATCGTCCTGTTGAGGCCAAAATTGTCAAAGCTGTCCATGGGTCTAGAATCTTGATTTCGAGGAAGGCCTTAAACGACTCGGAAAGCGCACAGCTACCAGCATCCCAAGAAACAACTCCCAGACATCCTGCTCCTCGTGCATATGGCACTGGCGGCAGTCGGTGCCCGTAAGCCACCATCGCTATTTCTTGCACATCAGGCAGCGTCTCACAACGGTCTACCTTGGGCAAAGCAGGCAAAGGAGATGCTGGGCACTTGGCATCACTCCCTGCACCATCCAACATCAAATCGCCCTCCTGTAACTTTTGGGTCTCGGTATGAACTGTCGAAATGAAGTCGCTCTCGTCCTCTAATGTTTGGGTCTCAGCATCAGCTGTCTCTGGATCATCCAATGTTTGGGTCTCGGCATGAACTGTCCAAATGAAGTCGCTCTCGTCCTCTAATGTTTGGGTCTCAGCATCAGCTGTCTCTGGATCATCCAAAATCAAGGTCCCAGACAGCTGTGTTTGCGTCTCTGTGGTTGTCATTGTCGTCGGTGCTCTCCTTACATAACACAACATTGACACATGGCACAACATAATAAGTACCAACTACTTTCACTATTAGGCTTGCCCACCCTATCTTTACTGATAGCTTAGAGGCACCGGGCACCTGGAGAGTCAGGTAACAAGTACTGATTACTTTCACAATTGGGCTTACTGAATCTTGGAGGTACAGGCGCCGGGCGCCTCCAGGCGCCTGGCGCCTCGAGGCGCCCGGCGCCTGGAGGTTTGGGTAACAAGTAGCTTCATAATTCAATTGAGGCAGAAAGGCTCAAGTATCGATACTTTCACAATTGGGTTTGTGAGTCTTCGAGGTAGCGCCGGGCGGCTGGAGGATTAGGTAACAAGTAGTTTCATATAATATTAATGAATGAAAATGAAAAAAGCAGGAAAACAACTTAAAAATTATAAATTATAAACGAAAAACTGTTCGGCAGAGTCATCTGTTTCAGGCCCTGAAACGGTCAAAAGTAATTACTTTACTTCGTGTGATCCCCACCATGACATTTATACGCTTTGTTACTGGCAAATCTTCTGGCATTCTATCTGACATATCTTCTGGCATTCTATCTGGCATATCTTCTGGCACTCTACCTGGCACCTCTTCTGGCATATATTCTGGCATACCTTCTGACATTCTATCTGGCATATCTTCTGGCGTATCTTCTGACATCCTATCTGGCAAATCTTCTGGCATTCTATCTGGCAAACATTCTGGCACTTTATCTGGCATACCTTCTGGCACTTTATCTGGCATATCTCATGGCATTTTATCTGGCAAATCTTCTGGCATTCTATCTGACATTCTATCTGGCATCTCTTCTGGCATTCTATTTGGCCATTGAGGTCCAGCGGTGCACACTGAGCTGGGCAGGTCCCAGGTTGAGGTCCAGCGGTGCACACTGAGCTGGGAAGGTCCCAGGTTGAGGTCCAGCGGTGCACACTGAGCTGGGCAGGTCCCAGGTTGAGGTCCAGCGGTGCACACTGAGCTGGGAAGGTCCCAGGTTGAGGTCCAGCGGTGCACACTGAGGTGGGAAGGTCCCAGGTTGAGGTCCAGCGGTGCACACTGAGCTGGGAAGGTCCCAGGTTGAGGTCCAGCGGTGCTCACTGAGCTCGGAGGGTGGTCCAGCGGTGCACACTGAGCTGGGAAGGTCCCAGGTTGAGGCCCAGCGGTGCACACTGAGCTCGGAAGTTGGCGAAGAGCTTGGCGAAGCGTTGGCAAGGCGGAAGTGAGGAGGAGAGGCGGAGGAGGAGCAGGAGGAGGGGGAGGAGGAGGATAGCTAGCCGAGGAGGAGAACAACTGTGATAAAATCTAACAACCCTCACCTGGCAGGTGGGGAAAAACCAAAAAGAATCTGTTCCAATTCTGTTTAAAAAACCTTCCTTGTAACTTCACGGGCCAGAGGCCACTCGACGGGCCAGAACACCGGACCAACAACGACCCCTCAGTGTCTGCCACACTTCATGGAGTCAATAGAAGCCATGGCTCCAATCGGCTACACCTGAGAAGCTTCTTCTCAAACAAATTGAAAGTTGGGCTACAATGCCACATCAAGTTTAACACATCAATCATTGGTCTGGCACAATCATTGTGTGGAGCCATGAGGCTATACACCTGCATTTCAGAATCTCCTTTGTTTCCTGTTTTAAAGCCTCACCTGTGTCAACGTTGAACTAAATAGTCTGGGCTCTCACAGCCTGAAAGCTCTTACAGCCTGAAGGCTCTTACAGCCAAACAATTTTTCATCACCCAGGCAACGGTTGCACTCGAAGCTTGAATGCTGGCCTTGAAGTTTGGTCTGCCGCCGCAAATCATTCCTGAGCGAGATAGTCAACTTCTGAGTCTGAATGGTTGCCAACCCCAAGCTCTTGCAGCCAACCCCAGGCTCTTACAGCCAACCCCAAGCTCTTGCAGTTCAATTCAATCAACCCTCACAACTTTTTGCTGCATCTGAGAATGTGCCCTGTGAGCAACGCGCGAGCTTGTCCCTGCTGTCTGTGCGGCTGTTCTGTGCGGCTGGAATCCAAAAAAACTTCATGTCTTCGGTACCGGGTTTTCAATTGAATTTCTGAAGAATGAAGTTCTTCCATGTTGCGCTGCTATCTCGTTGCTGCTTGTACATTTCAACCCTGGCTTCAGCCGCAACGTGATAAATCTAATTTCCCCCAGGCAACCAGGCAGGCCACAAAGCCTTTCTCTGCTATGCTGCAGAATTCCATAAAAATCTGCAGAATCTTAAAATGATGTTCAATCTGACATGAAATGAAATTCTTGCTTCTAGGTGTGCCCTGCAGGCAACCAGGCGGGCCAGGGAGCTCACTGCTACTGCCGGCTATTAGAATCCAAGTGTTTTTCGGCCTCTCAGATTTTCAATTGGGTTTCTGAAGAATGAATGAAATTGGCTGTGTGTTTGATTCAATTTAAGGTCTGGCCTCTGTTGTCTTCTTAAGCTTATGTACTGTTTTGGGAAAGACCGTTGAATGTTGATAAAATTCCAAGGGATTCAGTTCAGGCGAGCCACAGCGGCCTTGGCATCAGCTAAGGTATTTGAGGGCTCAAGAAATAACACGCAAGACTTCAATGACATAGCACTTGGTCAGCTGGTCTTTGGCCCCCTGCATTTAACATGACCTCGCTTCCTGCACAACAAGGTCCCGCTATGGCCACCGTAGCATCAGCTACAATGACAATTCAAAACTTAAAAAAACACGTGCTTCAAATACCATCCGCAATATGCGCTTGGACATAAACTCACACATCTGTTTCTTCTGCCCTTGGCCCCTTGCATTCCATGGCCTTGGTTCCCAAGCATCATCAAGGCATTGTCGTTCTGCCCCTGTCAGGATGGAAGAATGAGAAAGAGACGCGGGAAGCGGAACTGAAAACCACCATCCCTTACCCCTTACCTCTGAAAAAATACACCCGGCTAAGGATAATGACCTAGAGGAAAAGGGAGGGTTCAGGGACGCATTGCTTATGCTCGGTGGGCGCAAGCGATTCTGACCTTTCAGGAATGGATGCGGCGAGTAGTAACAGCTGCTCAAACTAACGCGTAAGCGATTCTGGTTCCAAGGTTTCAGTACTCCAGGGTTCTACAACGAGGGCGGGGGCGCCGGGGGGGTGTAACAAAACAATATTACACAGGGGCAGCCCCCCCTTGTTGGTACAGCAGCTAAGGGGTGGTGATGATTCAAACGAAAGTCACATTGCTGAACTTCAGGCTTGTTAAAAAAACACTTGCTAAACAAGGCCGCCATTGGCTATGACCTGGCCTTGCAGCATCATAGTCATCCGCTGCTGCTGCTGCTGCTGCTGCTGCTGCTGCTGCTGCTGCTGCTGCTGCTGCTGCTGCTGGCCTTCTTTGATCTCTTCGATGGCTGATCCTGCAACCAAACACCAATGAAATGCATCCCCTAGGACTTACTAAACCCTTCTTGGCCTCTGTCTTCTTTGGCTTCTTCGCTGCAGCCTGGCACAGAAGCAGTTCAGGAGAAAGACGGACCAGCCCAATGCTCTCTTGAATGAAAATGACATTCATCCGGTCCTTGCCACCGTCTGGCTGCTTCTTCTTCTTCCTTTTCGTCTTTGGGGCTTCGGATTCCTCCACAAAATCAAAATTACAAGAGACCAAAAAAAATACTTTACTTCGAGTTATCCCCACCATGACATTTATATGTTTTGTTACTGGCAAATCTTCTGGCATTCTATCTGACATATCTTCTGGCATTTTGTCTGGCATATCTTCTGGCATATCTTCTGCAATATGTTCTGGCATATCTTCTGGCACTCTATCTGGCATATCTTCTGGCATATCTTCTGGCATATCTTCTGACATTCTACCTGGCATTCTATCTGGCAAATCTTCTGGCATTCTATCTGGCAAACATTCTGGCACTTTATCTGGCATAGCTTCTGGCATTCTATCTGGCATACCTTCTGGCATTCTATCTGGCATATCTTCTGGCATTCTACCTGGCATATCTTCTGGCATATCTTCTGGCATTCTATCTGGCATATCTTCTGGCATATTATCTGGCAAACATTCTGGCACTTTATCTGGCATAGCTTCTGGCATTCTATCTGGCATTCAATCTGGCATCTTATCTGGCATTCTATCTGGCAAATCTTCTGGCATTCTATCTGGCATACCTTCTGGCATTCTACCTGGCATATCTTCTGGCATTCTATCTGGCATATCTTCTGGCACTCTATCTGGCATATCTCATGGCATTTTAATGCATTTTATCTGGCATATCTTCTGGCATTCTATCTGACATTCAATCTGGCATACCTTCTGGCATTCTATCTGGCATATCTCATGGCATTTTATCTGGCATATCTTCTGGCATTCTATCTGACATTCAATCTGGCATATCTTCTGGCATTTTATCTGGCATATCTTCTGGCATTCTATCTGACATTCTATCTGGCATGCCTTCTGGCATTTTATCTGGCATATCTTCTGGCATATCTTCTGGCATTCTGTCTGGCATATCTCATGGCATTTTATCTGGTATATCTTCTGGCATTCTATCTGACATTCTATCTGGCATACCTTCTGGCATTTTATCTGGCATTCTATCTGGCATATCTCATGGCATTTTATCGGGCATATCTTCTGACATTCTATCTGGCATATCTTCTGGCATTCTATCTGGCTGTTGAAGTCCAGGGGTGCTCACTGAGCTCGGAGGGTCCCAGGTTGAGGTCCAGCGGTGCTCACTGAGCTGGGAAGGTCGCAGGTTGAGGTCCAGCGGTGCTCACTGAGCTCGGAGGGTCCCAGGTTGAGGTCCAGCGGTGCTCACTGAGCTGGGATGGTCCCAGGTTGAGGTCCAGCGGTGCTCACTGAGCTCGGACGTTGGCGAAGAGCTTGGCGAAGAGTTGGCGGAGAGCTTGGCGAAGAGCTTGGCGGAGGAGGAGAAGGAGGAGGAGGACGAGGAGGAGGCGGAGGAGGAGGAGAGCTAGTCGAGAACAGCTCTGATAAAATCTCACAACCCTCA